ATTTTTAAAAAAATTGTTTTTGGATAATACTAAAGCTATAGAATACGTAAAAAATAATTAAAAAAATCTATTTTGATTTCAAGTGTTGAAAAAGTCGAAAAAGTTGGTTGTTGCTATACTCGTAGAGCAGGGATGGTAGTATAGAGCAACATTATGCATTTGGAACTACGAAAAATAAAAACATTTTTTTTTCATTTATTATATTTAAAATGTGTTAACATATTACATGTTTTTACAAGTTTATTAATACAATTTTGAAATTTTGAAAACTTTAATTTGTCTAAAATGTTGTCATATTATAATAGATATACCTAAAATTTGTCAAATTTATACACATTTAAATTATTACATAGTTAAATTACTCAATATTATTAGGTAGTATRATATTTTTTAAAGCAAGTTTTTCCTTTTCCATTACATAATCCAACTTGACATTCTTCACACGCTTGCCATGTATATCCCTTGCAACCTGGCATTTTACAACGACTCCTCGTTGGTGCATCGATCGGCCAGTGATCAATGCGATCCATGCGTAGATCTTGATTTGGTGGTTTCGAAGCATTCAGCTTCTTGGATTTTTGTATTAGTGCATTCTCTATGGTATTTGATGGCCTTCCTCTAGTGAAAGTTGACTGACCAACTTTGCACAAAGATATGGCTAAATCTTCTTTAAACGCAGCTAATGTCATAGGTTTTTCAACGTTGCCTCTAGTTTTATTTTTTTGAGCWATTATTCGCTTATGTAACAGACATGAATTGACAACAGTCACATCAAGTAAATGATAGAAAATCCTTAAATACCATTTACGACTTCTTATTTTAATTTTCTGTCGTCCTAACAAGCTATCCAATAGGTCWACTCCTCCCATGTGTTTATTATATACACTTACGATGTTTGGGCAGTCTATTTCAATGGATTTATTTTCCGTTTTTGAAAATCTTTTTACTTTATACATAGGATCGATTTCCACAAATGTAGATAGTAAAGTTACCAGTTACCACCTTGTTATCATGTTATCACGTACCCCTGGTATAACATCACCACAGATATAGATAATAATTATTTATATCTGTGAACATCACAGACTCTTATCAGTTACTAATTGGTGTGTATCCAATACATAGATAATATTATCTATGATGCAATACCGCAATTGCACAATTTGCATGTGCACCATCGGATGGGCTGTGCATTCCTGTATTTAAACGCTCCTATCTTAAATCGTGGCTAATGGCTATAGGTAATAAAATATAATATGGTTCGATGAAATTAATTACGGAACTGTATAACATGTTCCACAATTTTTCGTTCCAATAGATATTTGTTCCAAAAACTTTTGTCCCAACAACTTATTGGAACAAATTACCGTCCGATCAAGTGTTAGTAGTTGCATGCACTGATTGCCGAAATAAACAGAATGCAAACAACTTAACCTCAACAATATCAATCAGTTTTTCTCTCCTTCAGTCCTTCCCGAAAACGTGTTCATTTTATATTTCTTTTGGAGAAATTATTGTACTGAATTCAACCAATTTAGCAATATTTTGCTAATTTTATTAAAATTAATTGTTTTATCAATACACTAGTTCAAAATGTCTGATGTTGAAGATGCCGTAGAGGTTGGTGAACACGGAGAAATGTACAACCTTTTGAAAGAAGTGTTAAAAAATGCCCAGGTGAACGGCAGCCTTTTACATGGAATACATGAGGGTACCAAAGCTCTGGAGAAGAAACAGGGTAAATGTTTAACTAGCTTGTTGACCTATTTTATTATTGTGAGTTTCATGTTTTTGGTTTTTGTTTACAGGAGTGTTATGCGTATTGGCCAACAACTGCGAGGAAGCCATGTACAAGAAATTAGTCACTGGATTATGCGCCGAAAACAGTACTCCTCTGATTGAGGTAGACAGCAACAAAACTTTAGGGGAATGGAGCGGTCTGTGTAAGTACGACAACAACGGTCAAGCCAGGAAAGTGGTAGGATGTTCATGCGTGGTTGTCAAACATTTCGGAGATGACACACAAGAATTGGACACTTTGTTAGAGATTTTGAAGAAAAAGAATTTTGCGTAGATYAATAAAACCAAATCTTTTTAATTTAAATGTTAAACTTGTGTTTTTCTTTGCACTTGATAATTGAGAATATCAGGATGACATTGATTGCCATATATCATCTATACATATTAATATGTACTTAAATGTCATTCAAATTCTTGACTTCGTTGCTTTTTAATTTGAGTTTGTTTTATACTAAATAACAAAGATAAAGTGTCATTCTTGTATCCAGTTTACTTGGTACAGTATTTCATATTTACACTTGCTACATTTGATTATGGCGATACTAACATAACCAACATATTTTCATAGCATTTAAGATAAATCTATATAACATTATGCATTAGTGACAGTTAGGTCCAGATTTACCATACATAATTCTCACAATGAAATCAAACATAGTCCRTTAGACACATGACRTAGTCTGGACAAAATCCTTTGATTATTCCAGAATAATCAATGACTACAGTAGTTGGTACAATAATTACATATAGCTCGAATAACAAATTTTTATAAGTTTTAGTCGTTATTTTTAAGTTAATAAACCCTGATCATTTTATGTTACTATGAGAAATTTGAGTGCATGTTATATCATCAAATAACAATTTTTTTGTGATAGATGTGWTACCATATCCTTTTAAAAGGGATCTTGATGATCAGTGAAGTTATAGTTTATTATAAGGTAGCTCAACTACAAAAATGTACGATAAAATTTAAACATTATTTTGAGTCTAAAAAAAATAACACCTTTTGTCTTTGTTATTGATAATGAAAATTGAAATGATCCTGAGTTAAAGCATTGGTCTGGTCTGGTCCTGTTTATAAATAATATTTTTGACATTTTAATCAATTTTTGATATTCTTTGAGTGTTTAATCCTCAAGATATTTAGACTATATTTTGTTTTCTAAATATTTCATCCATACAACAACAAACTGTTATATGTTATAGTAAACTCATCTAAGTTATATATTTTAATATCATTTTGAAAAATAATTTATTTTAGTGCCTAATTTTTAGGATATTATTATTTTTTTAATGTTAAATGYTAGCACTTTCTATAATCTACATAAAATAAAATATTAAAAATTATATATTTAGGTGTTAAATCTTTTATAATAACTTCAAACAACTGTATTATAAAAATGGCGTAATACAATAAATTAAAAACAATTTTATTTTTAAATTAAAATAAAATAAAAACAGTGTTTACAACAATACATTCAAGCGTTTCAGCTTTTTTTTATATTATATTTAAAAAATATTTGGATTTTTACTTTTTAATGTGCATTCACTCTGAATTTATAAGTTAAACTGTTAAACCCAATGTTTAATACCAGAAACCAATTTTTAATWTTCATTTTCAATGACAATATTTAACGTTCATTTGTTCTAATTGGTTTTTTCCTCTAATGCATATTTTTTTGATTATTAAATCTTAAATTTGATTCAAAATTAAAAGATCATACTTATTATTTTAATGTTCCTGACATATTTATACAAAATATTACTTAAGAATATAATGTAGTACTACCTTTATATACATAAACATCTTAATAAGTTATACTAGGGAGTCTTGATATATGTATACATAATATAATATACCAAGTCTCTTGTCTCTATACCATATTCTYATTTTCAATATGTTTATGTTTAGAGGAYACTACACAACTATTTGTTGTCTAAATTTTTTAAGTGCATAACATAGAAAATGTATGATYAGCAGAYCACGTTTAATTCCGTTAGTTTAAAAATTTGAGTAAATTGAAGTATTACAAAACTTGAAGGTTAGGACATTATCTGTGTTTTTATGTGGCTTTTTTTTACGATAACTTAGTTTTTAAGTGAGTTATGAACATATTTACTATCATAAAAAAATCACTCTTTCAAATACAGATAATATTTTTACCATTAAGTTTCCTAATAGGCCAGTTKACTCTAGTTTTTCAACTAAAGGAACTAAACGTGATCTGCCAAGCTTAAATTTGCAATGTTATACACTTGTAAGATGGAGAAAACAAATGGTTGTGTAGAGTCCTCTTAAAACGATAAGAAATCCACATTAATTAAACATATACTTTTTTTAACWTACAAACTAGTAGCCACTTTCAAGAGATAAGCACGGCTGGTTTTTTTTATTTTGAGTCTTGCTCAACCTTTCCCCGTTCATAATTGTAAATATTGTTGTACTGTACTGTTTACAATTTTTGTTARAATGTACATTATATGGTTTATTTTGACCGATCCATTTCAAAACCAAGTACCTATAACTATCCAATCAATTATTAACCTGAAATATTTATCTTATGACTGACTGTTGCTGATCTCTAGTAGTCACTGGACTGTTATTAATCACATACAYTATTTTTTAACGCAGATTTTAATGAGGAATCCAGAAAACTGTTTAAAATTAAATATAACCTATTTTTGCTCCTACTCATACATTATTAGAATTATTTTGATATATTTTTTTGCTAATTTAATAGTTATTTAACCAAACCATGAAAACATTCCTTATATAAAAAATGTTTTAMTGTATATGCAAGTAAGTAGTACCAGGATACTGAGTCTAAACRTTGATACACAGGTCTCGTAGTATTTAATTAATAACAATACTAGATTCTATTAATGACATAAATTATTGATAAATGTAAGGATCTACTTTGTGCATTGTTTTATTTGGAGGAAGTGCCATATTTCATACTCTTTAAATATTAAATAGGTAAATGTTGAAAACTATTTATACTAAAAACTTATTATAACTATTATTTAGTCATATTACCAATACCAATGTAATAGATATTCGAAGATAAATTTATGTTACATAATTATTAATTATTGATTAAGTGTATATTTATGCCTTTATATAGGTAATGATAATTTATACTTATATTAATTTAGATAACTTTAATGAATAAAGTAGTCTTCATAAAGTTCATGGTTACGTGGGCAAGTACTTATGTAGATTGTAAGAWWGAATCCTTACARTGTCTTCATCTATGCTGATTCACAACTGTAAAATAAAGATGATATTAAAATGCTTGATACGAAATACACAAATTATTTTATTATGTGAGACAATATTTCCTATAAAATAAAATATTATATTTGTAAATTGAAACTAGCCCAATCAGTAATATCTATTCAGGTATATTATGAAATACATAATTAGTGATTTTTAAATATCTCCCACCTGCATGTGTTGTAATTGAATTTGTAACCTGTTGTACATTCTTGCTCTTCAACACATTGACATGAACAAGTGTCTGAATTCCATACCTTTTTTCCTTGTTCTTCGCATTCTTCTGAATYATTACAAATGCATTGACATTCTCTGGCATTGTACACTTGATAGGGCTTACAGTCCTAAAGAAAAAAAKGTATAAAATATTTTCACTTTTCGCTACTTTTATACTTTTTATTAATTATTGAAAAACATACTTTCTCTTTTACAACACAATCGCATTTACATTTCACATGTTGCTCTACAGTGATAATYTTCTTTTCTTTAAAAGTGAATGTTTCATTATATTGTAGAATGGTGACCTGTGGTAAACATATTTAAGATAAGAGTACAATTAATACAAAATAAACGTTCTWATATTAAATTGATGTATAGAATGTTGTAACTTTCTTCAAAATTGAGCATTTCAACTTCAATCGGTTGACAAGAAACCAAACTGCTACCACAACAACCACCGCATCGCTTCACTCGTGTACAGGGTGGCGAATAGTATAAACTTGGGTTATCATCATCTCTTAGACTAATTGTTTGATTTTCTGTAGTGCAAGTTGCTGCTTTTGGAATTATTTTCGTTGAATCTTTAGATTATACAATGAAATTAAAATAGGGAATATTGGAATATTTAAAAAAATGTGCTGTAATGTAATACTTAATACTATTTGGTAAAATGTATTAATTTTTTTTTATCCATTGATTAATATTCTTAGTCTTATCTGATATTATAATGTATTTCTACTAGATTATACTATATAACAATACAATAATAATAGATCTTACTTTGACCACCATTAGTTTCATACTTCAACACTTCATGAATATTGATATGTGGCATAAACTTCCTAAATAATTCTGAAGCACTGTTAACCTGGTTTAGYTCCATTATAATGTCCAATGGTATCTAAAACGTCAAGACATACAATTTTAATACTGGGTAGTTGGACGATAGATATAGGTAACGAAGGTTATAATAAATGTATTTAAATTAAAAGTGGACGATTATCATTTGTTAATTGTTAGTTATTTACTATGGTAAAATGTAGAAATGTTGTACCATCATCAGGGAAAATTGAACGAATAAAAAAACCGAACAATTTACGAATTTTTGACAGTCTTTCTCATACATGAATAGTACAAAATAAATACTCTTAGATTTATATTAATTTTACTAACTAGTAATATTTTAATATATTTTTTTTTTTTTTTATTAGTTGTTATTAGTATTGTATTTATTTTTAAATTCATTAAATTATGTTAAATAATCATAAATCATAATGAATTGTAAATTGTTCGTATATTATACCTACTAAATAATAATTATAATAATCAATTCTAATACATTTTATTAAATTGCTTAAGCTTACAAATATTGTATTATTAAAAGCAGTAAGTTGAAGCACGCGACAAGATATTACTTCTTTTATGCTTTTTTATCCGTGATTTTTATATTGATTAATTTATTGGGTCATACTCGGCGCCCGCGGCGGTACATTAAGTTTATGGATTGTAAAAAACATTAACCATCTCCGAAAAGAAAAATAATAATTAATAACAAATTGCAAAAAGTTATATTGTGTTTTCCATACAATATTACAATATTATGCTTTAAACTTATAGCATGATATTGACTTATTCAATGGTTCCGTAATAAACTACCACGGAAAGTAGGTAATGTAGTAACAAAAAAAGGGCATTTACTCCGCCGAAGATATTTACGGTTTTAAGTTATGGGTAATGGATTAACAGATACTTTGATAGTCGGTAACCTATCTATATAATAGCTTTCATAAAATATAGTTTAATTGATATTATGATAAATATTAATATCAAACTAACTAATAATAAGTAATTACTTTTGTATAATGTTCATTCTGATGGCTATTTGAATTGATGTTATGCCCGCCACAAGATCTTTCGGATCCATGTTTGTTGATGTTATTGATGTTTTTACTAAACGAATCTTTGGGCAATTTTATCTGATATTTTTTGTCGAAAGTAGCCGTTATTGTGATCAAAAGTAATAGCCAATAAAGTATAAATGTATGGTACATTATGAATCGTGTTTTAATAACTGTGTTATTGCGTGTTTTCTACATTAAATGTAGTTGATTAGGCGGTAGGTAGTAGGTACTGCGGTGGCGGTATAGGTTTCTACTGTAAGAAATCGTATAATAGATCATTATTCATTGTGAGTAGTATACTAGTATGACTAAACAATCAAGCTAGAGATAAGAATGAGTATTTATTGAATTTTTTATTAAAAGTTTAATCGTAACATGTTTACATGCACGTATATATTATATACATATATGTTGTTTACAGTGTATCGATGTAACTATACCTGTAGTATTGCCACTGATTTGAAAACCAATGCTAGTAGCTACACATTAATTAGTATGACGTGKGGTTYCCTGTTTTGCTGTCAAAAAAAAATGTGGGATAGTTTTCCCACTTGAATTTTTTTWAAATAAATGTTTGTAATGTTTGCATACCAAAAATCTATCCATTGCCAATGTTGAGTCTGATAAATTAAATATGGGAATGGGATATACTATAATAAGTATGCATAATGTATATCACAATATTATTACGTACCTAACCTAGACTTACCGAGGTCTACCATTATCCATTTTAACCGCCTCCGTGTGGGCCACTCGCTTCCTCCAGAACATGCTTATAAACTTGGTCAAAACGACTCTCCGCTTTGTACCTTACACTCAACCGAAAGTGTCTGTGACAGTGTGACAKCTCTCATTTATTATTCGACTGTCCCTCTTATATACCAAGCGTAAGTCTTTGATCAACTATATTAAGTCTCTAAGCATTCCACCCACTCTCCCTTCTATACTTAATACTAATAAGACTGAAATGGTCATTAAAATAATAATTAACTTTCTATTGGAAGCTGGCTACTTAACTTTATATACTTTTTCTAGTTATCAATCTTTTATTGTTTATATTATATTAAGTCTTTATTTTCTATATATTATATTATATCTGTATTACAATATAATTATAGAGATAATATAATTTTATACTAAGAGCTATTAAAAAAAGAAAAAGAAAAAATAACCATAACATTCAAAATAATTAAATGATTGGTTCTCCTCAATAACCTTTCCGATTCCATACCCATATCAGTAATAAAAGCATAGGTRTRGTAAAATTATAGTATTAATAATACAAAATTATAATAGTACAAAATTATTCTCAAATGCCTTAATATATTGATTTTATTTTCCCTTCCCTTCCCTTAAACCGTATACTATTATTTCACAACTGAGTAAATCAATTTGAGCTTATGCGTTGAGATTACATTTTTTTT